CGCCCGCTCCCGCGCCCCTGTGACGAGAGAGGCCGGGTGGCTCGCCCCGGCTCCTACCTGAGCATGGGCCGCACGACGGAATCCAGGGAGATCTTGATGTCCAGCTCGTAGGCGCAGGAAAACTCCACGTTAATGGTCCGGTCCCGGGTGATGACGTTACCGGTGTTGTTAGCGCTCTCTATCCACACCGTATTCTTGTACACTATGTGCGTGCTGTTTGACTGCAGAAGGAACACGGGGCGTCGCTCGAGACCGGCCGTTCCCACTCCCCTGCTCCTAAAGAACACCTTGGCTCCTCAACGAGCCGCACGATACCGAGGGCCCTGCCGCCCCTCCTCCGCCTTGGCCGGATCGAATACGGTACAGTGGGGCTGCAAACGGCTGCACAACATCCTTACTCTACGAGACTCGCCTCTGTTTTCCCTGACCCCCCACCCCACGACAGCGCCTCCCGAGCGTGGCGCGCTCACTCTCCGAACCGGTGTCAAACCGGGCCATCGTGGAGGAGGACTGCCCGGCTGGCCGGAGACCACGCGGCCTCCGTGCTCCCCTGCCGACAAGTTCCTCACGCGCTTAACAGCTCCGAATACGCAGACCGCCCTCCTCAGCCTCCCGACTTTTCCTCCGCCTCCTCCTGCAACCTCTGGACCGGGACACCAGTCAGCGAGGGGACAACAAACCCACACCGAAAGACCGTGCGTGCTACAAAGCCCGCCCACATCCTACCGCCTGAGCGCAAGCTGCCCCGATCGACCGTCAGACCTACGCGCACGATCCAGGTGCCGGGACCCTTTCGCTCCGTGGAGCCGCCTCCTGAAGACACGCTCCCCCTGCCCGCTCTGACCTCGAGTTCGCACAAACGGGAAGACGCCCGAGACGAACGCCCTGGCCTCTGCTCCCGGCCCCTGGCGCGCCGTGCCCCGGCTTACCTGCACCACATTTCCGCAGTTGCCTTTGGTGTTGTTGATCTGGAAGGAGATGAAGTCCTCCCCTTCGATGCCGGGACACTGGCGGTCATTGACCCGCACCCCCTCACGCTCAAAGCCCAGCTGGAACAGCTTGCACTTCGAAATGGACACCTCCATTTGGGCGGCTTTGCAGGTCACCTCCGCGTCAATGATGTCGTGGGTGGCTACAGAGGAAGACGAGACCGCTACAGGTCGCTAGAAATGGCGCCACAGGCTCAGGCCGCCGGCCTACTCGGTCCTCTTCCCCGCTGCCAGAAACAGGCGGGGACCGTCTCCTGCGGCACTCTCTGCCCGTCCCATGTCCTCTCTGCCCTAAGCGCTCCCGAGCGAGAGGTGCTCCTAACGCGCTCTCCAGAAAACCCATTCCCTGCGTGTGACCGCAAAACCCCGCCTCGGCAGAGGTCCCGGCCCTCGGCGTCTCCCTTCCCAAAACCCCGGGGCTGTACGATGGCCTAACGCGCGCCCGTGCCGCTCGGTGCCGGCCCTGCGGCCGGGACCGGAGGACTCACTGTTCCCGTAGGGTGGGGGCTCGATGCAGCCGCACAGCTCCCCGCCGTTGTCCAGCTCGCAGCTGCGGTTGGGACAGTCGGCGCCCACGCAGGGATCTTCCACCACTCCTGCTAAACAGCACAAGACAGAGCGCAGACACGATCTTTACCCTCGGACCGCAGGGCGGGCGGCTCCGACCGCCGCGGGCCACCTCCGCC